AAAAAAAAAAAAAAAACCTTACTGCAGAGCTAAGAACACTGACTGTTCTGTGGACCAAGACTCATTTCCCAGCACCCACATAACAGCTTATAGCTTGTCTAATTCCACTTAGAGAAAAACAGACATTCATGTAGGCAAAACACCAATTTACATAAAATAGGAAAAAAATTTCTAAAGAGCTCTGACTTCGGTCCCCCAAAAACATAATTTGTGACTCACAGGCACCCATAACCCCAATTTCAGAGGACCTCCACAGACACCAAGCATGTATGTGGTTCATGTGATATATGCTGGCAATGTTCATGTAGCATTAAAATTATTTTTAAAAACAAAAACAGGTCAGATGCTCCAAGACAGACTCTCAAGGCTAACGGAGGCCCTGCCTCAAAATAAATTAAAAATAAAAACAAAGGCTGGCTGTGGTAAAACAGGCCTTTAATCCCAGCACGCTTGAGGTAGAAGCACAAAGATCTCTAAATTAGAGGCCTACCTGGTTTACAAAGCATGTCCAGGAACCCTGGAACAAAACTAAACCCAAAATAATAAAAGACTGTTTCAGCATTTGGAGAAGTGCAGTGATTGAAGCCTAGTTGAGGCAGTATTGTCAGCCTTTCAAGAATGTTTGGGTTCACATACATAAGACACAACATCAAAGCTCAAAGCAAATGTGGTACTGCAGTTTAAGGCTACCCCTTAAATGAGAAATATTTGTATAGGACTTAAAAAGAGACAGAACTCAAAACTATCAAGTACAAGCAGAATAGACTTTCTCCCTAGTTATGAGTTTAGAAGCTACTGTGTTTGGAGATCACAGTAAAAACTTTCCCACCTTTTGACAGACTACCTAAAGACATATCGATGAATGCTGTTCCAGAGCATTAGCCAAGGGTCAGCTTTTCTTCAACAGAAGGCACATACCTTGGTGACTGATAAGAAGCCCAAGATGTTGAAAATTATTTCCCTCACTAGGAAATACTATTACTAAGAATGAAGCAAATTAATACCAGGCTATGTGTGTTGATACACTTATCTACCAAATCTTAGCAATCCACAGGCCAAGACAGTAAAATCTTCGAATAGTGGTAAACCTAAACTATAATGCAGAGACACTAATTTGATAACAAAACCACAACAGCCTATGCTCAATTTTGTAACATAAGCATTTGAAAAACGAAAATTTTCTTGTGTCCTTTTTCAGAGAATTTTATTTGAGTGGTTCTTACAAAGATTGTTGCAATATGAAAGTCATTTGTTTGATAGAAATATCAAGCTGTCTTGTCAAACACACTGAAGTAACCCAAAAATATATTTCAGAGCTCACAGAGCTTAAAAAGAGCAAAGATTATATGCAACCAGACAAAACCTATTTCTGCATTTCCTATCACTTGCTCAGACAGCTTTGCTCAAACTGTTACAACAACCATCTTCAGGAAATGCAGGGATCATTTTGTTTGGAATCTCAAGACACACTAACACACAGTATTTACAAAGAAACAGATACATTAATTGAAAAGTTACCATCAACAAATATAATTTTGAAATCCCCTTCTTGCCAAATGATCCAGGTGAGATGCTAAACAGCCCTTAGCTGCCTAGATTTTACACACACTAAATGTGTATTCCAGAAACCTTTCCTGAACCAAGGAGCAAAATACATCAAAGAATGTGAAATGTAACTGCTGTGTAAAAAGTTAGGCTTCTGAAACATAAAAACATTACCTGTCTGCCTTTATACAGAAAGCACATTTGTTCCCCTAGAGCTATTCTATAGAGTCTTAATGTAATTTTCTACATGGACATTTTAAAACGGCAGAACAAGCAAAGAGCTTTGCATAAAGATTTGCTAGTTAGGGAGAATGAGCACACTGCATTCCTGTTAACATTTTTATTTTTCAAGATAACAGGAGTTGAATACAAATGACAGTAGACCCTTGCCTCTTTATTTTTATCTAAATAAAAGATAACTCAAGATGAATTCAAGGAAAAAAAAGCTATATACATAAGGGACTATATCTTCCTTCATCGTCTACTTGGAACCAGTAGTTGTGTTGCTGTCATAGAATCAGGAAAGAGGTTGTGGTAAGTTGGAAGAGGTACATACGCTGCTGTTATCATTTTACCTGTTGACAAAAAAAAAAAAAAAAAAAAAGTTGAGTAAGAGAACTATACTCAAATCACTTGCTGTCCAACATAAAGTCTGTGTAGCAGTAACTCACCAGCAAACCACCTGCCATGCAATGCATTGACAGCAGCAATAGCTGCAGCAATAGACGGGCACTTCACATATACATTGCCCTGAAAGTAGAAAAACAAAAAATAAAAACGGTATAGAACACAAGTCTCATGCTCATTCAAGATGTTTGCAACTTAGCATTTAATTTTTCATATTCATTCAAATAGCGTATGACCAAATACTTCAGATGTTTCAGAAAACTTGCTTTAAATACATAAATATTTAAATATCTTCCTATTCCCCCCAACCCCTCATTTATTTTTAAATAAAGAATGAAAGCTGTGGCAGTTCCAACCAAGGTAACCACTGTAAACAAACTGATATATAACACAACTCTCACTAAAATTTGTATTTATCTTGCCTTTCTTTTAGGGGGTATATTTGGATAGCACATTCAAGTTCTTTTCAAGAATAACCACTAAGGAATCACACTGTGTGCCTACAGTAAGCATAATCACTTGGGAAGGTAAACCAAGTAACAACATTCATGCATTAACAATGCACTAAAAACAAAAACAAAAAAAGAAACAAGAAAAACTGATATAATAAAAATACAATGAACATGTGATGCAAAAACTGGTTCAAGAAAAAGATAAAATGTTTACTTAAGAGAAACAAAATAAGGCCCAGCATTGGTGGGGTATGCCTTTAGCCCCAGCACTGAGTTCAAAGTTGGCCTGGGACTAACTATACATAGTGAATACTAGGCAGCCAGAGCTTCAAAGGAAAACCCTGTCTAGAAAACAAAAACCCACAAAGAAATATTAATGTACCTGAGCTGAATTTTTGTCAACATAAATATGAATAACTCCTCCATGTTTATTACATTCTTCAATCACATCATCTTTAATCTCTGTATCCCATCCAACTTCTTCTTCTCTGTAAGAAAGGATAAAACATAATGAAGTTATGTTTACTAAAAGTGGTTAAGTACTATCTTTGTGTATGGTCAAGAATCTGGAAAGGAATTCATTAGCTCTTCCACCATATGAATACCAGGCAGGCCAATCAGTTCAAGGCCAGCATGGTCTACAGAGTAAGTTCCAGGACAGCCAAGTCTATCCCACAGAGAAACCCTGTCTGGAAAACAAAATAAATAACTAAACAAAAAAATAAAATCAAAAGTTGAATTTTAGCACCCAAGCCCTTAAATATTTGATTATTAACACTATTAATAAAATTAAAAGAAATTAAAGTTATTTTCTAACATGTGAATAAAAAAAAGATATTATAAAATGAAATGTATTGCACAAAGATAAACTCAAAGCAGAGAGGGATCACAAGTTCAAAGCCCGCACAGATTATTAGTGCTATAGAAAGGTCATTCCTACCAAAAAAACAAACTGAGTCTCTGTTGGGAGTAAAAAAGAGGACTGGTAACCTCCATCATCAGCAAAAGCCCTCACTTATATTCATGACCAGCACATGAAAAAGAAAATAAAATCCTAATAGTAAAAAAGGATGGATACTCGCTACAGAGGACCTCCTTTTTCAAAAGAGCTCCAAAGAGGGATTAGAGAGAGAGAGCTCAGTAGTCAAGAAGAGTATGTGTCTTCCCAGAGAATCGGGATTCAATTCCTGGCACATATGTAGCAGCTTACAAGGGAATCTAGTACCTTCGTACAACACATAGGGTAAGACAATGCACTCACAACTAAGTAGTAGTGAAAGGCTGTAGATATTTTACTACTGTCACAGCTTTAAATTTCAAACCATGGGGCTGGAGAGATGGTGCAGTGGTTAGGAGCATTGCCTGCTCTTCCAAAGGTCCTGAGTTCAATTCCTGGCAACCACATAGTGGCTCACAACCATCTGTAAAGAGGTCTGGTGCCCTCTTCTGGCTGCAGACATGCAGAGTATTGTATGTATAATAAATGAATAAAAAAATAAATTTCAAACCATGTGTCCATGAGCAAAACAATGTCAACTATTCAACGTAATACCTTTTCAATAATTAAGTATTATGAATGGCAATTTATCCTATTGTAAGCATACTTACGTTTGAGGGTTAAACATGTTAGAAAGTTGGAAACATTGTGTTGCAAGTGGTTGAACAGATGCAGCTGCAGCTAAAGCTGAGGCTAAAAAAGAAAAAGAAAAATCAGCTTCCTGAAGAACATGTACTATCCCGTGACAACTAAAAAAAACGAACCCTATCTAAATGTGGAGGAAATATTTTATAATCACCTTCTTCAACATAAGACATTTGCTCATTTTATCATTCAACCTTAACAGTGAAGGTAATCATGACTACACTAAATCATCATTAGCTTAAATTATAATAGGCAACATGGTCTATAAACATTTATTATTTAAAGAATGAGATGGAGAAAACAGTCCAGACAGAAGATGCAAAAAAATTTTCCTAAAAATTTAAGGAGCTGGTTTTGGAGCTTAGTGCTAGCCTAAGAGACTTGAAGCTCTGAGTTTAATCCTTAACATAAGCACAAATGGGTCATCCAAAATCTTGGCCTGAGGAGGGATAATCAGAAGTTCAAAGCGACCCAAGCCAACATAGCAAGTTCTAGGCTAGACGGGAAAATATGAAATTCTGTTTCTAAGAAAAGAAACAAACCCATATTTAAACAGGGCATTGGTTGAGTTCACATTATCTCACCACCTATGAAACAGGCAGGAGGGTCTCTTAGAGAGTTCTGGGTCTCTTGGGTTACAAAGCAAATTCTAGGATAGCCTGGACTACAATACCAGAGAGAGACCCTTTCTCAAACCAAACGAGCCAAAAAATTCCTATGACGGATTGAGAACAGATATGTACTCTAAATTAATTAAAACAAAAAACCTTAATACGAAACACTCCGGAATGAAAAAAGTTAAACAGAAGATTCATTTTATTCTTTAATGATATAAAATGGAGTTATTGGAAATCACTAATAAATAATACTCTCTAGGTTTTGCCAGATATAATTGTTTTTTAAGATTTATGTATAATAACAAACTCTCTGAACTCAACCATCTCAAGAGTCCCAAAGGCGCAATATATGTATGTATGTGAGAGTCATTGCCTACATGCAAGGGCTTTAGGTACCTGTTTATCTCAGAAGAAGGCTGCATGAGATAACCTGATACCTGCTTCATACTGTTGTGACTACCATGTGGATTCTGGAATCCAAACATGGGGCTTAAAATAAGGAACTAAAGTGCTCTAAATCAAGAAACAATCTTTCTGATACCATCTTTCTTTTCAATGCATGAACCTTAATATGATTAACTCTTAAAAGGTAAGAAAAAAGTATCCAAGGAAAAATGTCATAATAAAGTAACATTTTAAATGCTTCCTCATAGAAAAATAATAACAAAGAACAACTAACTCAATTATGGTATGACTCACATATGTGTGAATACACTGGACATTTCATAGCTGTAGTTAATTGTTAACTGTTGCAATGGTTTCTATTTGGAGTTCCTTTGGTTATGGTTTTCTGTTGAGACAAGGTCTTGTGTCCCTCCAGTTTGCATAAAATTATCAAAGATATTATAGCAGCTGTTACAGAACTCACCGTAATCACATTATCTGACCAAATCCCATTCCAATGCATTAATAATAAACAGCTAAGGATGAAATAATTTATTAAGAAATCGAGATAACTGAAACAAATAATCTCTAAGGACGTATCAGACAAATTGCACTGAACAATTTAAAGCTAATCACGAAATAGCACACTAAAAAATTAATTTGTTAATTTTGTGCTTTATGGTTATATTTTTAGAGAGAGGGTTTCTCTGTGTAGCCCTGACTGTCCTAGAAGTCACTCACTGAGATCCACCTGGCTCTGTCACCTGAGTTCTGGGACTAAAGGTCTAAACCACCACTACGCAGCTGCAGAATATCTATTTAAAGAATGCCTGCATAATGATAGGCATGTGATTCCACTCTTTTAATCCTAGCACGAGAGAAAGCATTGTGGCCAATGGGAAAGGATGGAGATCGCTGAAAAAGGAAAAGGCCTAGTGTTAAATGGACATGACGGTGGAAGTGAAAGCCTTTGATCCCAGAATTCAGAAGGCAGAGGACAGACGCAGTGAGGCCAGCCAGTTCAACAGAGGGACTTCCAGGACACAGATAAACCCTGTTTTGGGTGGAGGATAAGGGTGTTTTTCCTTCTTTAATATGTCCTTTAAAGAAAAAATGATTTTTCTTTAGAGAATTGAGAAACCTTTTCCTAGTATTTCCCACTATGAACAAATATTACCAGGTGCAGCTTAGGAATTAAATGTACAACTGCTTAAGAAACCCAACATAAAACATCTAAAAACGAAACGTGCTGGTGGTGCACGCCTTTAATGCCAGCACGCAAGAGGCAGAGAAAAGCATATCATTTTGAATTTAAGGACAGGATGGTCTACAGAGTTGAGCTCCTGAAAAGCAAGGGTTGCTAAAATGAAACCCTGTTTTGAAAAACAAAACATATAAAACCAATTGTATATGATTAAAAATGCCAGGCTCTAGCAGGCAAAGTCAAGTAGATCGAGTTTTAGACCAGCCTGTTCTACATACATAGTTCTATAAGAGGCAGTGCTACACAGTGAAACCTTATCTACTAAAATAAAAAATAAATGTATGCACAACTAAAAAGTGTCAAGAAAACACCTAAAGGGAACTACTGATTAATTATGAGTAATACAGATCAAGGTGGCTTAAACTAAGCAGCATGCAGAAGCACAAAGAAATAAAATTTTAATTTGATGAAACTGTTAATCATTAAAAAAACAGTAACTACAAATGTGGCACTTGCCTAAAGAAACTTAAAATACACTTAATTCTTATCTAAAAATGAGATGTTTTTTCAAATGTGATCATTAGTATAAAACAATAACCACGTTACTCTAGTGGTGGCACACAACGATGCTTTTTTTTTGTCATGAAGTAGTTTCATAAATAAAACATGAAACCAATGTCTACTTGCCATCATTTCAATATGCACATAATTTAGAACAATTTAGAGTCCCAGTCATGTCTTGTTACTACAGAGTAGACAAACCATCATTATAACAATATAAAACATCTAACCCCATACAAGTCTTAATTTAAGAGCAGATCCATTTTCCATGTTCTGAGGCTGGTTTGCTAAAATACTGACAATATGTCACTTTCTTTTAGGTAACCTAGATAAACCATGAAAGAAATACAAGACTAAGTTATGGGTCTTGCTTTTTTAATAATCAAGGACTGAGTGCAACAGTCCTCTATCAGGTCAAAAAAACCCTAAAGCTCGCGGCTTAAACATTCAAGCAATTCAAATGTAAAAATATCCAGACATCTTTTTTTAACTTTAAATTCAGTGTTAGATTATTCTATCTTACATTAAATGGCAAAATTATATCCAAACAATCATTAACAAATTTTATCTTTGTACACTTAATTATATTTCAAAGAAAAAAAGATTAAAAATAATTAACTCACCTTCAGTCTGTTGGGAAAGTCGTGTTTGCAAATCTATAACAAAAGAGAATTCTACAGCTCAGTGCAGGAACAATGAAGAGCCTCAACTAACAGGGTAAATGTCAGGAAAGTATTAATAAAAGAGGACTTCAACAGCAGGGTTTATTAGAGTAAACTTAGCAAAACCTGGCAGCAAAACCTCCTTCCCCATTCCTCATTGAATAGGCTTTGGGGCCTTTTACTTCTTATCCTAGAAAATGATTCACCTCTCCTCCTATGTACAGTCTTCCCTATCATATGTGTTCCATTTATGATACCACGGCTAGGAATAATGGGAAATGGGGAAAGGGAAGCATACCAGTCAGAAAATATGTTAAAAACCCTGATTGAGAATTCAATTCCAAGTACTTGGAAAATAAGACTTATTTTTACTAGTAGTAATCAGCATTAAGTATTTCAGAAAGTTTTATTAGAAGTGTAACAACAAACACACATTTAAGACCTATGATCCAGTTAACTAATTTTACAATTTTGCATTAACTGAAAAAGACATTATTGTAACAATGTGGAACTTATCTAAGAGCTTCTCGGATTCAATCTGTCACTGATTTTTAGCACAGACTAACAATTTGATCAGCTACAGTGAAAACTGTTTCAACACAGGAAAGCACATTAAAAATTATGACATGCACGGAAAATCAATATGAATTGGGAAAGAGATTCAAGCAGTTAGCTGGTGTTTGTCCAAGCCATTAAAATCAGCAATAGCAGAGGAGACACAGGTTGTGGGCTTTTTGAACACAAGGTGATCTACATAAGGAATTTCCTAACAGCCAGGGCCACATCATAGTGAGACCCTGTCTCAAGCAAATAAGAAAAACAAGAGATAGAGAATTTATCTCTGCAAAGCTACCATAGCCCTGAAGTTCTATTTGGAATGTAAAAAGACCAGAATAATGAAAACATGTATCTAAACTACACATTTAGTGAGTTAAAACAGCTGGGCAATTTGAGCTAAAAATTAGCATATCAATGAGCTCAAGAGATGAAATGTATTTATATCAAGTGAACTCAAAAATATTAATGTGAGGGCTGGAGAGATGGCTCAGTGATTATAGAGCATTGCCTGCTCTTCCAAAGTTCATGAGTTCAATTCCCAGCAACCACATGGTGGCTCACAACTATCTGTAATGAGGTTTGGTGCGCTCTTCTGGCTACAGACACACAGACAGAATATTGTATACATAATAAATAAATACTTAAAAAAATTAATGTGAACCAGTATCAGTTACTTTAAATACAACTGCCTTTTTAATACAAAATGGGTAAAAACTAAGAGATTGATGCTATTAAGTACCAAGTAGGACAGCTCTGAGTTGGTGGATACAGGTTAAGACTTAATTAAGGCCAACCAGAGATATCCAGTAAAATCCTGTCTCAATAACGATAACCTAAATATAATGCTAACACATAAATGAGAGCCAGGCAGTGCTAACACATGCCTTTAATCCTAGCACTTGGGTGACTAAGGCAGATCTCTGAGTTAGAGTCCAGCCTGATTTACAGCGCTAATTCCAGGACAGCTAGGAATATTACACAGAGAAACCAAGTCTCATAAAAACTAAATTCATAAATAGGAAGGCCACTATCCTGACTACCTCACTTGGGTCTCTGAAACAGTTACATGGTGGAAGGATAGAGCAAGAGCAGATAAATGGGCCTCTAGCCTCCACACATGGGCAGAGGATTAAGTATCTCACCTCAAAATAAGTAACTAAAACAAAGCGAATCTTTCCTGCCTTCCCACCCCACAAGGTGAATTCCCTTTAAATGTTTTATGAGTAATTTTCCCTGGCTTTATAGTCTGTCCAACAAGGGTGTTTCGATTGCCCCGAGGGTCAAAAGAATGCATTATTTACCCAGAAAGAGGACTTATAATTATCTGTGAGTTGTTAGGTGGATACATGAAATAGAACCCTGGTTCGCCTGTAAGAGTAGCCAATCCTCATGAGGCCACCATTACAGCCCATATATTTAAGATTTTTACTAATAATCGCCAGGACATAGTATCCTGAGGGTTGATGATAGAATTCTGTATATAAGAAGCAATACCTCAAGGAGGCATGGAACTCATTATCTGAAGAGAGCCTACTCACAGCAACCCTAACTTCACTTAAAGGTATGAAGATTATAGGAGTAAGAAGAACTTGCCAAACCTAACACTACTATTGACCCTATTAAAGGTAAGGAATATAAATGTGTTTAAGTATTCACTAGTCTCTATAGAGCTGCAGATTAGGAAAGAACCCTTCAGTAGTAGAACAATCATTTCACATGGGTTACCTAAGACTATCACAAAAACTAGTTATTTACAATTCATATCAGAAAAATTAGTTATGAATTAGCAAAAAAGTTTTATAGGTCAACAAAACATGATAAATTGTATTAAAGGGATAAAGTAAGAGAAAGTTTAGAACAGCTGCTCTAGTGGAACACCCAAATCATGATTTAGCATTATTTTTCACATGAAAATTTGGCCTTAAAAGAATGGAAGGAACGAAGTAATAATTTTGAAATTAAATGATCTATTATTTTTACTGAAAGGATTTCTCTACACAGTTGTTGTTATCTAAGGGCTCACCATGTAAACCAGGATGGCTTCACCTCTCAAATACTGGGAGAGCCCTGCTACATTTGGTCAGATACTATCTTTCAAAAGAATTATTTATCTTTATTTATGTGAATATGTCAATTTGAATGTAAGGCACGTGGGTGTGGTTGCCTCCAGAGATCAGTAGAGGTGGTGGAAGCTAGAGTAGCAGGTAATTGAGCTGCACCATACGCTCAAGGGAAATGAACAGAAATCCTCAGGACACAGCCATACTGGAAGAGTTATAATCATCCTAACATTCATACTTCAGGCTAATTCCAAAATTTCACTTCAATTGCAGAAAGCAGTTTGGTTGGCTGAAGAGATGGCTCAGAGGTTAAGAGCTATGGCTGTTCATAAGTCTTGAGTCAATTCCCAACAACCATATGATGGCTCTCTCACAAACATCTAATATGAGATCTGGTACTGTCTATGGCTTACAGGCATACGTGCAGCCAAAGCACTGAATACATAATAAATGAATCTCAAAGAAAAAAAAAAGTAGGAAAGAAAACAGCGTCAGGTGACTATTAATTCAAAGCTTAAAAACAAACAAACAAAAAACACCAGTGGATGTTTTAAAACTCAAGAGCAAAAACACAGGTAAAAGAAACCTGTTGGAGCCGGGTGGTGGTGCCACAAGCCTTTAGTCCCAACTCTTGGGAGGCAGAAGCAGGTGGATCTTTGTGAGTTTGAGGCCAGCCTGGTCTACAAGAGCTAGTTCCTTGACAGGAACCAAAAGCTATGGAGAAACCCTGTCTCAAAAATACAAAAAAAGAAGCAGCTTGTTGAGAGTGTATGACAGCACTTACAAACTGTCTCAATGATTACTTTTCCCTTCACATAATTAATTATATTGGCACTGTATAAACATAGTGTATAAAAATATAAAGACAAAGACCACTAACTTCATTTCTTAAATTATTTTAAAATATGTCTGTATGTATGAATCTATGGGTGAATATCCGTAGGTACCTACAAAGGAAATGTTTCCGATTCCCCTGGAGAGGGACAATTCCCTTGTGGAGGGACTTAAAAGTACTCTTTAGGAATTAAACTACAATCCATTAAAAAAGAGCAGTAAGAGTTCTCAAACTGAGGAGCAATTTCAAGCCCCAGCCCTATTATTTTTTGCTTTCTTTAGTCTGATTTTATATTTTTGAGACACAGTGCCTCTGTTAACAGCTTTGGATGTCATCTAATATACAGAGATCTCTCTAGCTCTACCTGCTGAGTGCTGGACTCATAGGCATGTATCAACATCAACCTTTATCCTTTTTCTTATATGTTTTATATAGCTATGTATCTAAGCAGATTCACTAAGCTAGCACGAAGGTCTCTGTATATTCAGAATATTACTAGATTAAAATCTTACACAGCCTTCTTTTCTATAAAACTTAGAACACAAATTTCGATATTTCTTTTGTAGTGTTCTGCTTGCAGCACAGAAGAGAGCACCAGATCTCACACAAACGGAAAAGCAATCAGTGCCAGTGTCCCTAACCTCTGGGCCATCTCCAGCCCCAGATCACCATACTTTTAATTAATTAGAATCAGTAAAACATTTGTGTTTAAACAGGGTCTGATTTTGTATCCATGATATATCCATGATATACCCAAAATCAAAGATTATTCTATGTTCTAGATTTACGACTATGTTAATCTCTTAAAAATATTTATCTAAGTTCTGTGTTTATACAACTTTTGCCTCCATGTGTATGTCATGTGTAAGCGTGGCCTGGAAACTTCAGAAGACATAGCTCTCTTGGATGTACTGAGGTTATTAGATGATTGTGAGCACAAACACACAAAAAAAAATCTTTCCCGTAAGTTGCTATTGTCAGGGTATTTAATCATAGAAACAAAAGAGCAAAGAAGCAACAACAAAAAAAAAATCTAAGCTTCTTTTTAACAATGAATATTTTCTAAAAATTGACAGTAACAATTTGAACTACACTTGAGATGCTTCCATAATCATACAGGGCATTCTGGTTTAGTATACAATTATACTACAGCTACACTTCTTTTGTAACCATTAATATGGTAGAAGTACTTAATGAATTGAATTCTCAGTTAGTCCTTTGAAATGCAAAAAATTTGGCATAATTTCGAATTAGGTGAAAAACAAATGATTTCAAATTAGAAAAGATTCAATTCCTACCTGCCACAGCACCAAATGCCAAAGAGCCACTCATTTGTAATGCTTGCTGTGCTGCTGGTGGAATCTGCAAACCTGTACCTGTAAAAGAATGAATCTTCAAGTTCTTACCAAGGTTACAGTGGAGAAACCCAATTTGAGGAATTTACACTACATGCTCGACTCAGAGGCATAAGCAAAATGGTTCTACTCTGTAAAACCAGTTAACACTATTGAGAACTTACCCTCTGCAAGTCTAGCCATTAATTGGAGACGACCAGTTGTTCCCAAATCAATTCCAGTCCTTTCAAGTTCATCACTGTCCAAAAATGAACTAGCACTAGAAGCATCAGTTCGTTCAGTAACGTGACCAACTTTCATTGGTCTCCCAGCTAGTTCAAATCCATTAAGCTGTTCCAAAGCTTTTTTGGCACATTCTGAATCAGAAAACTAGAATAAACGACAGGAAATTTACAACTGATTAATTTGCAGTATATCACTACAGACAAAATAGTACCTTCAAGTGCACTTGCATCCAGCGTGAATGTATGTCTGTGTGAGGGAGACCTCTGATAAAGATGTTTCTACATTGTTTACATTTTAAGGTCATTGTCTTCCTTACTGCAGTTATGTAATGATAGTGTAATATTCTGATATGAAGTCTTAATCTGTAAATTATATAGGTATTAAGGATTATAGGTCAATAGTCATTCATGTTTGTTTTACTTTTAGTCAGACTAATTAGGGTTCTTAGATACATAGTGATTCTATTCTGCATACATAGTTAATAGAGTTATAGACAGTTGCAAGCTGCAGTGTGAGTGCTGGGAATTAACACTGTGTTCTCTGGAAGAACAGTCAGAGATCTTAACCGCTGAGCCACCTCTCCAGTCTTAAGTAGTAACTTCATAAATATATTTTTGCCTGTAACGTTATTCTAGAACTCACTTTGTAGATGAGGCGGATCTCAAACTCACTGAGACTGCTGGCCTCTGCCTCCCAAGTCCGGGGAGTAAAGGCGTGTGCTTACCATCACCTGGCTAACTTCATGAATTTAATATAAAACAATGAAAAAATACAAGTATTTAAAAATAGTGTAAAAGTATTTGTAAATTAAAATGAAAGATAACTAGAAATAAAGCATATTTGTAAGGCTGTTTAAACTTTTAGGCAATGTGTTGCTAAGTATATATCATAGGCCTAGAACTATGTTTATCAAGCTGGCCTTCAAATCCTTGAGACTTCCCCCCAGCCTCCCAATGGATGGGAATGAAGGTATGTACCAGCATATCAAGAAATCTATCTGAATCTGCCGGACTGGAAAGTAAAGGCACCTAGAAACTTAACATTAGTCCACCTAGTAAATGGACCAAAGATGCTTTTTCCTTCACATCTGTCCTTTAGTCTCCAGATTAATTTTCAATGTCCTGTGCCCTGCCTCTTCTAAACGGATTTAAAACAGGTTTTTCCTTTCCATCTCATGATTTTAAAGGCCTCAAGGAGTATTCCAAGGCCTTTTCCTACTAAGAAATGCGATAAGGGGCTGGAAATGTGGTTCAGGGGTTAAGAGTTAACAATGTTGGCTACTCTTCCAAAAAGACCTGAGTCCAGTTTCTTGCATCCCCACTGAGTTGCTTTAAACCACCATAAATGCCAACTCTAGGCTGGGCAACCATGGAACACGCCTTTAATCCCATCACATGGGAGGCAGAGGCAGATCTTAGTGAATTTGATGGCAGCCTGGTCTACAGAGCAAGTTCCATGATAGGCTCAAAAGCTATAGAAAAACCCTGTTATCAAATCCCCACCTCCAAAAAATAATTCCCACTACAGGTGATTTTATACCCTTTGGCCTCCCCAAGCACACAAATGGCATACACCCACAAGGATGAAGAAAAAAAAATACTGCCAGGAATTATGGCACATGTTTTTAGCTCCAGCACCTGGGAAATATTTCCACATGAGGCACAACAACAGTGGAATGGAATATTGCCTAAGCGAAGGAAAAAAAAAAAAAACCAATGTGGTGGCACATGCCTTTAAAATGCTAATTCTTGCTAGGCTGAATCATGTGTATGACTTTAAATCCAGAATGATATAAAGGGAGTTCTAAGGTTACACATCGAAACAAAAAAATATATAAAAATAATAACAAAAAAGAGTTAATATTAAGAACTTGTCTCTAAAGACAAGAAAAATCAGTTTTAATACATCAAACAGGCCAGGAAGCCTTTAATCCCATCATACTGGAGGCAGTGGGAGGTGGATCTCTCTGAGTTAGAGCCAGTCTAGTCTATAAAGAGAATTCCAGGGCTGGCTACATAGCTACTGAGAAACCAAAATCAAACAAGACAATATAATAAAGTCTATAGACCAAATTAATGTTACGGGAAACAAAAAAAAAAATTCTCAAATTGCATGTTTTTCAGTCTTTCACGTGAATTATTTCTCCCTTCAACCATATTTTGTTTTAACTGGTGAGCCTATAAACACAGAACCAGGCTTATGAAGTCCACTTATAAGCAAGGTCAATACCATGCCGTGAATTTCTCCCACCACAGTCACATTTTTGCCTGGCTTTATCTTCATTATATTGTGTGGCTACTTCACTGAATCACAAATCCAATTATTACTTTCTCCATGGCTTCCATGATTATGCCATGTTTTTCTATACACAATGTGTTTTAGCTTTACTGCATTGCCACCACATTTAATTCCCTGAGACTTGTTGTCTGCAGTGTCACGCCCACAAATCCACTTCCTTCTTTCTTGAAAGACGTTCCCCTTCAGCAGCATTACCATTGAACTGATTCACATTAATGCATAACTCGAATAGAATATATAGTTATACACAATACATATAAAAACAAAATATTTATAAAATATACCATGAATAGTCATATTAACCTTATAAGGAATTAAAAAGCTATATGCAATATAAACTATACATAATATACTATATAATTATACATATGGTTATTACAAGAAAGGGTTTTTCTGTATACTCCATTTTCTTGGTAGTCACTCTTTAATCAGGACAGCTAGGAACTTACTCTGCCTCCTGAGTACCTGTGCCTCCAAAAACCAAGGGGGACCGGGGAGGGGTAGGGTGAGGTGGATGATGTAGTAACATATCTAAATTCTAGGGCTTAAAAGCTAACGTAGTAAGAAAAACCATTAACTTGTTCAAGTTAAAATTTTCACGGATCTTCATTTTAACCAGTAAGAATGTGCATAAGAAAACTGACATGATAGTGTGTGCTTTTAATTTAGGAGGCAGAGCTCAGTTATTTTGAGGCCAGCCTGGACTACATTTAGACGCCAGGGTTACAATGAGGCACCAGATCTCAAAAATAAATACTCAAGTTATATTGTGTATCTGACACCACTAGAATTTATGGTCACCAGCACTTACATGCATAGATCAAAACAGACATAATAGAATCAGAATCAATATACAAATAAAGAAACGCAGATATTTCTACAAATAAAATCACTTGAAAATACAAATTATTCTTTTATATATTTACAACAATCCCTACACCTCATATACATAGCAAATATTGTAAGACAAATACTTACTGTAATGAATCCATATCCCTTAGATCGACCTGTTTCACTATCCATCATGAGCTGAATACTTTCAATCTAAAATTTAAAGGCATAAATTAGGCAAAAATGTTCCTTAAGATATAGTTTTTAAAATCTAGAATATACTGTATGTTTATCCCCAGATCCCAAAGTAATGAAGATATTACAAGTGTTCTTTACAAATAAATTTCATTTTTTAATTGATATTTATTGAGCTCTACATATTTCTCTGCTTCCCTCAATGCCTCTCCCCTCCCCCCATACTCCCAATTTACTCAGGAGATATCTTTTTCTACTTTCTACTTCTCATGTAGATTAGATCTAAGTAAAATGAAATTTTGTCAAGAACTAGAATTTTTCAGAATTAGAACACTTTGGCAGAGAAATACTATCTGGAGAGTGTGAGGGAAAGAAAAAAGTACTAAAATTTACCCTTCCAAAAGGCTCAAAGATGCCCCGAAGCATATCTTCAGTTATGTTAAAGTGTAATGATCCCACATAAAGCCTCATAGGTCCAGCACTTCCCTTTTGTAAATTGTTAGCCATTGCAGCAGCTCGATTTTTTTCTGCCTGTAAATAAAGGAAACCCATGTCAAACACTATAAAGCAGTCACTGTCAATGACAGAGGAAAAGATTAAAAAAAAAGTTAAAAAAGTTAAAATCTATGAATAAGAAAAACTGAACTCCAAATTCAAAAAGAGAGAAAATCTGCAGAAAGAATTTGCCAAGCATGAGGAAAAGGGGAAACTGAATTATTGGTAAAAAGGTTTGTTTGGGACCATAAAATTATATGACGGTAGGATGATGGTGATAGCTAAACCACACTGTGAATGTCATTACTGGCACCAAAATAAACTGAAGGGTGGTGATACCAAGTATTAAAGTCAAACGTGTGCCTGTTATACAAACACTGCAAACACTGAGTGAGGAATATTCCATGACACTCAATTTTGCCCCATAGCTGATGTGTTAAATGTTGCAATTCACAATTTTGTACTGTTTATTGAATATTTGAAGACATTCATAACTCACTGTTGGACAAACCCCAAGATCAATTTATCTGAGAGTTGAATGAATGTTATCCATCTCAAACCATGACTAATTTAGAAAGAAGATGTTTGAAGGACCATATACATTAAATCGTCTAATAATGGCTATTTGATCTATATTAGGACGTTTCAAAACTTCATTATTTATGTGTTGTACATGTTTTGTCTGCATATGCATCTGTACACTATTCATGTCTAATGTGATGATTCCATTTAATAGGTTTGGTGAATAAAGAATCATCATGTATTTATTATCAGCCTCTTTAAAATTGATGACAATTCTCCTGCCTAACTCTCGTATGTGCTACGCTACAACACCCAGCTCAATGACCAACCTATAAATTAAGAAGTTACCTGTGATGCCTGTACTATTATTGGCACTCCTAAAACACGTTGACCAGTTAATCCAATTGCTAGAGGCACTGAGCTAACATCAACAAATTCCACATAGGCAATTCCTTTGGATCGTCTTGAATTTCTATCAGAAATCATCCTCACATCTCGAACCTAGAGAGAAAAGAAGCACAATAATTATTTTGTAATTAAAAAAAAACATGTAATTATTTCAACACATAAAAGACTGTTTCGTCAGAAACACTGTCTCAACTTATATCCCTTGGGCTTAAACTTGTTTTGCAGACCTAGCTGGCCTTAAATTCACAAAAGGCTGCATAACTTGTCTTCAGAGTGCAAAGATTAAATTTCAGTACCAAAGACAGGATTGACAAGTATCTTTAAATAGAACACTAAGGAAACCAATAGGATTTCAATATTTACTCCCATCTCATGTTAAAACTTACAGCCTTTTTACCTCAGTAATAGGGTTACATTATAAAAGACTTGCTCCTTAAATAATTAGTGAATAATTTATTATGTTATCTTTGGGGCACGGGATAAAAGTGTGTAAGTTACAGGACAACTTTAGCCACCCTATTCTGTTTTCACCATGAACTACAGCTACAGGGACGGACTCAGTGTCATCAGGCTGCTGGTAATTGCTTTAACTCAAAAGGATTAAGGACGAACCTGGTGTTTTGATAGATTTTCCTGAAACTCTAAAGCTCAAACACACTCCTACCTTTAACTCAATAGTAGCCAGAGTTAAAGTAATAAGACATTGAATTACATAATTCAATCACACCCAGAAAACCCCTAGTATTTTCATTTTTACATATGAAATTTTCATCTAATCTATTCAATCTACTCATACCTAAAATCCCAAAGTAGAACAATATATAAGGAACCTAATGATTCTGAAAATGGCCTGAAGCAGCACAGTAGGTAATTAGAATTGGCTTATAAAACCATATGTCCAGATACCCAGGCACTTTCCTAAGTCTTCCAGACTTAAGTGGCTTCACAGTATTATTATAGCGATCCCTTTCACATTTATTTTAAGTACAAAATTACCTATTGCCGTTTTCCTTGGCTACATTCCAAAATGTGTAGGTAAGCTCCTACTGCTAATGACACAGCACAATGTATGGAAATAGGACTTGGAGGAATTCAGCTGGAACTGACCTGGAAGCCTCGTCCCTGAGGACTAGCTCTCATAGTACTGGAAGATGTTTATACAAACTGCCAAGGGAGAAAAGCAATCAATAGTCCTAACCTGCTGTGATACCTACAAAACACAATGATGATCAACAGAAGATTTCCCAAAAAGTGCAATGTGGAACTTTATATTGATGATTACCAGCTACCAACAGTCTAATTGACGTCACAGCTGACTCAATAGGAAAGAATTCATTGGTGTACTATAAAGCTACTCAACTGTCTTAAGTCTTGAGGTCAAAGATGTAAGAAAATAACCTAATATTGGCAGGATGTCAAACCAAACCATACATATTTATCCTTAATTGTAACAGTAAAGGTTGCTATACTTCACCTTTCATCAAAGTATTTGGCATCAAATGAAGACCATTTCAAAAAGCACCACTAAATCATGAGGGAGCTAAGGCCCAAATGATACATCGACAACACACACAAGGTTCAGGGATCATTATCCAAGAGAGGTCTAATAAAGATTTTAGGAGCTAGACGACCAGAACAATCTCTGGGGTATTTTTTTCTATATGTTGACAGGGAGGCTGGCTGCATTCAGGAAATGTCAATAGCAGCCTAAACAAGACAGCACAAGGTGGAGGAGGAGGACAATCAATCAGTCTTCTTCAAATGAAGACCTAATTGGTTACCCAGTACTAAGGGGTCAGCCCTAAAATTATACATATGCAAAGACCACTAAAGGACCTCAGGAAATTGATTATATTTATGTATTTAATAAGTCAGTAACGAAACAAAAAATTAATAATTTGTGACATTCTGCCAAACACATACACATATTCTCACTTTTTTTTTCTGAGATAGGATTTCCCTCTGTAGCCCTACCTATCCTAAAACTCACTCTATATATCAAGCTGGCCCTGGGACTCACCTGCCTTTGGCTCCTGCGTGCAAAGATTAAAGAATAAGCCAACAGTGCCTATGAAACCCCAGTTTTACTTGAATTCTCTTTACACATTGGTATTTAAGGTGTGTGTCACAATGCTTAAACATAATGCTGGAAATGGTTAAAACCCCTGACTTCTACCAACTTGCAGTCTGTAAATGGTGAGTTACCTTTCCTACTGTAGAGAAAAACTCTTCCAAATCCCTTGGTCGAATTCTTGCTGCCAGCTGCATGCAGAAAACTGTCCTTGCATCCCTCTCCTCAGGAGTTAGATTATCAATAGGTTCCCTAAGAAAAGAATACAGAATTAATGCTGAAGTTAGTTGAAGAAATGATCACATTTATCACCGTTACCCTCAAACTACCATTTTTGTTAATTTTCAGGAAAGGGTTTCTGTGTAACCCTAGATATTCTGGAATTGAAAAAGATCCCACATGCTGGGATTAAAGGCTTGCACCACCACTGCCAGATTCTAACTCCTGTCTTAACCAAAGATTTCTTTCAACTTTTTCTTCTGAGATAGGGTTTCTTTGTGTAGCCCTACCTATTCTGGAACTCACTCTGCAGAACAGGTTGGACTCCAACTTAGAGATCTACCTGCCTGCTTCCCAAGTGCTGAGATTAAAAGGCACACGCCACAACCACTGACAGTTCAAATTTTTTTAAAAAATATTTAATTTTACCTGTCTATACCCTTCAATGGTATGCTCTAAGTGTATACAATTAGACTAAATTCATGCCAATGGAGATCAGATTCCTCAAGCCTTAATTGAAAATAATTGTAAGCTAGCAAATAAGTGCCAGAAACTGAACTCCTATCTTCTCTAAGAACAGTTAAGTCATCTTTCCATGCCATTATCTTGAAAATCTCACCTTCCTGTTTCAACCTCTCTGGTTGCAGCATTATTGACTTGCATCAAACACTCATATTAATGCAGTGCATTAGAACTTTAATGCCTGTTAGGCAAGCAATCTTACACCTTTTTTAAAATTTATGCTCTCCAGAAGATAGTGCCACACACTTCACATGAAACTAAAATATGTCCTGGGTTCTGAAGTAATTTTTAATGTAAACTTTTAGTAAAATTGTAAAAAAGGAGGTTGTCCTGTACTACCAAGCCTTTAATTTCAGCACTTGAGAGCGAGAGGCAGGCAAAAATCTCATTTCAAGAACAATTTATTCTACATAGCGAGTTGCAGGGCAGCCTGAGCTACACATAAACCTGTCTCTAAAAACAATGAAAGGGAAGAAAGGGGCTGGTGAGATGGCTAAGCATTTAAGGATATTTGCTGACCTGCTTTGGTAGTTCACAACTCAGTTCCACATTATAACCTCGTAACTACCAATCACATAGCTCACATAACACATACATGCAGGAAAATAATAAATTAACTTTTAAATATTAAAGAATAAACTTTTCATTACTTGTCACCGTTTCCACCTAGTTTTAATACACTCTATATGTAGACAAATGTCCACAAAATTTCAAAATGTCTTTTTCAAATTGACCAAATAATCCCTTCTTGTCACTTGTATGCATAATACTAGAACATCAAAGAATTGTTCTTAAATTATTAAAGTGGTCATCTCTCCACATTAAACAGCTGACCAAACATCTGAACAAATGACAGACCTATGCCAGAAATCCTTTAACCCCAGCAGTCCAGTATGCAGAGGGAGGTGTATCTGAGCTCCAGGCCAGCCTGGTCTACAAGGCAAGTTTCATAAGAGCGAGTGATACATACAGAAACTCTTTGACAAAAAAAAAAAACAAAGAAGGAAATTACCTAAACAAAAAGAAATGAGACTTAACATATTCATTTGACAAAGAATTAAAAATAAAGCACTTTTAAATTTAACAGATATGAATAAAAATACTCAAATAAGGGAATAGTAAAATAAAACAAATATAACTTTCATTATCTTACTTGTTTGTTTGTTTTTTTTTCTCCTGATTTTCAAGACAGGGTTTCTCTTTGTAAGTTTTGATGCCTGTCCTGGAACTCGCTCTATATATCAGGCTAGCCTTAAACTCTGACTCCCGAGTGCTGTAATTAAAGGCCTGTATGTATCACCACAACATGGAGCAGATTTTGTTTTATTTTTCTTTTTTCTTTTGGTTTTTCGAGACAGGGTTTCTCTGTGGCTTTGGAGCCTGTCCTGGAACTAGCTCTGTAGACCAGGCGGGTCTCGAACTCACAGAGATCCGCCTGCCTCTGCCTCCCGAGTGCTGGGATTAAAGGCGTGCGCCACCCTCACCCGGCTGTTTTATTTTTCTTTACTGGTTTTTTGTGACAGGGTTTCACCATACAAACCTTCCTGACTGAGTAGTACCTTTGTCAAACAGTGTGGGATTGAACATATAGGTATCTTTATTCCTCAACCTTGGAAGTCCTATGATTAAAGGTGCTAAAGAACTTTTTTCCTAGAACTCATTCTGTAGACATTTAAAATATACTGCATCACAGAAAAGTTTGTCAGATATGCTAGGCCTGTAGGCCGAAGATGGATGTCCCAACACTCGTTTTGCCATATCTCACACATTTTGGGAGTCACGCGCTAGCACTTCCTGCTTACTCAGTTAGTATTATTTCCTTCTCAGATCTCTGATGGAGTTGAAGACTTTATATTTTTCCTTATAGATTCAAGAAATTCAATGAAGAGATGTAAAGTATATAAGACTTAGAAACATTAAGAGACAGTTTTGGTAATTGAAGTTAGAATAGACAGAGGTAGGCGTTAGAGCCACATGGGAGTTCACAACTGTCTGTAACTCCAGTTCCATGGGACCTGATACCCATACAAAAAATAAATTTAAGTGAATTAGGTATAACCTTTTAGAGTATTTTTTTCTGAATTAGTCATTTGCTAATGGACTAGACATGGCTGATTTATTTATTGTACAGTTGTTATATTTATTGTATATAGTTTCTCTTTTATTAGTTATAAACTTATTTATTTTAGACAAGAAAGTGGAAATGTGCCATTTTGTTTATGCTCTACAAAGCTTGCCTCAAGAGGCAGGATCTCTGAATTTAAGGACAGACTGGCATACACAGAAAAATCCTATCTTGAAAAACAAAACAAAATCAGAATTCTAAAAGGCTATTAGGCTAAAGAGCTAACTCTCTTGCTCTTAAAGGCCTAATTTTGTTTCCCAGCATCATGTTGGATGGCTCATACCACCTGTAACTTCAGTTTTAAGACCTTGATTCTGAAACCTTACCTCTTAAGAGACAGCCATATTCACAAAAAATAAACAATTTAAAAATATATTTTAAAATAAATATATATCATAAACATGTTCTTGTTCACTCAGTACACTACTTGGAAGCACTAATTATCAAAAAGACTTGAATTTCACCTGAGGTATCAGTGAAGAGTTTTGTTTGTAAAATTGTAGATAGAATCCTGCTATTCAAATACTCTACAATTGTGCTACACTTCCAATCCAACACGTAATTTCAAACACGTTATGGTCAAAAATGTCTAAGATTCAAAGAATAAAGTTTTTCTTACAAGTAAACACATTATTAAGATCACCACAATATCAACTGGGCAATGGTTACTGATGAACTTAGGAGGCAGAGACAGACAGATATCTGTTGAGTTCCAGGCCAGCCTAGTCTATAGAGTGAATTCCAGGAACAGTCCATACTGTTATACACAGAAACCCAGTCTCATAAAAACAACAAGGGGGCTTGACTAGAGAGATGACTCAGAGGCTAAGAGCACATTGGCTGTTTTTCTAGAGGTCCTGAGTTCAATTCCCAGCAACTATATAGTGGTTATAACTATCTACAATGAGATCTAGTGCCCTCTTCTGGTATGCAGGCAGAACATTATATACATAATAAATAAATATTTTTAAACAAAAAAAGATGAGGGGGAAAAAAAGACCGCACTAGCGTGGGGGGGGGCAGATACTGAGTTCAGGCCAATCTGATCTATAGACCAAGTTCCAAGACAGTTAAACCTACACATAGAAAGTCTGTCTCAAAAAAAAAAAAAAAAACTAAAGAAATCAAACAATATCACAATATTAAAAAAGGAAACTTCACTAATATTTAAGTATTTCTCAACCCCAGGGATTTTATATTTAGAATACATAATTTAACAAGAATAAACTTTAGTTTAGGAAATGTTTCAAACAATGGAGATTGCTGAAAGGTTAAAAGAACTGGCTACTCCTCTTCCTGAAAACTACGATTATTCTTGCAGGAAATCTAATCCCTTTCAAAGGTATCAGGCATGATATACTGTACATACATGCCTGTAAACACTCAAATACATGAAATAAAATCTTTCTTAAATAACAAAATAAGTTGGGCATGGTGTCACACACCTTCATTCCAGCAACAAGAGTAGCAGTGGCAAGTAGATCTCTTGTGAGTTAGAGGCCTAATATAAATAGAAGTTCCAAGTATGCAAGGGCTACAAAGGACTATCTTCCCTTAAAAAAAAAAAATAAATGAAACTAAATTTAAAATCTTCCTCATATAAAGTCAGCCAGAGGTTAATGATAAGTCCATTCAATTGTATAAGACAGGTAGGATGAAATTTTCTCTCTCTCTCTGTTTTATGAGACAAGGTTTCTTGGTGTAACAGGTGTGGCTGGCATGGAACTCTTTTTTTTTTTTTTTTTTTTTTT